ATTGAAGTGAATTATTTCTAGTCTACTTTTTTTAAGGACAAAACACAAGTACTACAGGAAAATCCATAAGGCGTTTGATTTGAATCGCTGGAGATTATTACCATTTGGAAAAACGGTCCCAGTAAGTTTGTTCCATATAAACGCAGTTCTCCAAATAAAAGAATTCTTAACCTTTCAGTAGTCGCGCGATTTTTTGTAACAAGTTTAGTCGCGCAGTGTCTCTGAGACCGGGGTCCGTAATTTTTTTTNAGCTCTATATCTCCCTATGTTAGTCTCGATAAACATGAACAAATTTGTTGAGATGTGACCATGTTAACTGCCATCGTATCTAGTTTTGCAAGAGTTTTGAGTTATTTGGAGATTAGTAAATCCAATTGGAATATCAGTATTTATTGTAGTGGTGAGTCATTAATGATTCAATAGTTTGACATTTTAAATATTACTATTCAAGACAATTTGATGACTTTGACAGATACGACTTTTGGACTAAGTTATAATGCCTCACCATGAAATTAACTTGAGTCATATTTTTGTGAGAGATACGACTTTTTGCCTTTGGAAGAATCATATACGACATATCGACTTGGGAAATGAACTAACCAAATGAATAAGTGATGTTTATTAGGATTCTTTGGAAACAAAAAATCATTTATTCACAATATTTTGTGAGAACTGAGAATGGAAAATTAGTAAAATTAGTTTTTGATGATTGAAATATTTTATTAAAAAACTTCAATCTAATCCGGTTTCTTCTTCGGTCTCCGGTACCTCCTCCCAAAACTTGAGTATATTTTTGGGTACAGACATCCCTTGTAATTTCTGAATCAAATTATGTTTTCGAGTTGGGTTTATTCCTTTCGGATCTAATTTGCGGCCGAGCTGTTCCATCTTTCAGAGCTTTCGCAGTTAGGAAACACAATTCAATTGACTCTCCATCAAACTTCGTTTTGTAAAATAGTTTTTTTGGAACCTCTCACGAAATGTACTTCTCAAAACATAGATAATAGAGGTTTTGGCTCCGTTTTCTTTAGTTTGAATCTGGATGAACAGTCTGTAACATCCAAAAAGTCATCTACATCCATATGAATGCAGGTCGTACGTCCACTATTTGATATTTGAACACAAGTTTTATAGTCTTCAAAATCTACGACTTTGCCCTTCTGTTTTAATGACTTTTCCACTTGGTGATGGAATGAG